GACGGAGGCAGCATGGACAATTGAGGGGAGAGGTGAGGGGCACGGACCTGAGGCGACACGGGCAAATTGTTGCCCACCTTGCACTGGTGAGGTCACGTCGGCGCTGTTCTGGCCTGGGGCGAAGCGAAAAAGCGGCTGGGCATCAGATGGTGATGTAGCCGTTGACGCTGCCGATGGTGCTGATGCTGTCGCTGGACTGGCTGGATCTCTGGCAGATTGCTGGAGGTCATCTTCATCAGTATCTCCAGCGGCAAGGTTGACTGCCTCCTCATCTGGCCTCTCGTGCTGCGAATCCAACGCCTTGTCCATGCTGATCTTGGTCTGCTTGTGTGGTGCGTGCCATGTCTGAAGCCTCGGTGAGACTGAACGTGCTGGCCTATGCGTTACTGCGGCACCCTGCGCAAAGGCCGCTTCCATGCGGTGACGACCAACTATTCGATTTTCCGACGGTGATGGCGGTGGCTTGTCCGGCCGGCTTCTTCTCGAGCTCGAAGATCTGCTGCTGCAGCTTGTTTTTGTTTTCCTGTTGATATTGATTAACTTCAGAAATCTGCTTCTGGATGTTGATCATGGTGCTCTTGAAGTCCAGGACTGCGTGAGAAGCTGAGACTGCGCATGCTGCATGGACGCGAGCATACCCCGGCGTGGTGAGTTCGGTTCCCGTACCTGCTGAGCCCATAGGTGTCATCGGCGTAGCTCCAGGCGGTGTATGGGTTGGCTGTATTGGCTCTGGCTTCGGCGTGCTGGCGGTACCCTTGGGATTGCCATGTGCCGTTGGCCAGGCCCTTTCGGCCTGAAGGCACCATCTGCTGCGAGTGGTGCTTCATCATCGAACTCATCCTCATCGTCCTCATCGTCCTCATCCGTGTATTCCGAGGCTCTGGGGTGCCGTCCGTGCGTGCGCTGGGTACGCTTGTCTACTGTCTTGCGCTCCTCCTTCTCTGCCTCCTCCAGATCCTGGAAATGCTCCAACAGGGCTTCGGCATGTGCGAGCTCCTCATTTAGGATCTTCACTTGGCTGCGGCAAGTCTCGATGTACTGCTCGGCTTCGCTCTGCTGATTCTGAGATTCGGCGAGGCGTCGCCTTGCATGGTTGACGAAGCTGAGCTGCTTGGCGGTACGAGCCGAGGCCGACCTCGAGAACATGAGCTGATACAAGTCCACGCTGCATTCATGTCGCAACGCTTCAACTTGATTGATGTCTAGCTTGAGTTCCTGCGAGCACTTGATTTGGCGTTCGAGACTTTCCAACGTCGATTCTAACGCTTTGCGAAAGTCTCCGAGCTCCTGTGGATTTTCTGGCGGGTCTTGCCACCTACGATGCGCCACGGCTTGCTCAGGAGTGCATGGCGAGATATTCATGATTTCCTCGTCATCGTCGGTCACTAGACGTGCTCGGCTCTTGCTCTTCTGCTTCTGCCATGACGAGAGTCTTGTTTTGTCACTGCTTTTGACGTTCGACTGAGAGGGCGTGCCACTTGACACACTGCTTGGCCTCCCACTTATTAACCTGACTGCATGCTGGGCATTCCCACACACACATTTGACTGGGTCATGCTGTCTGCTCTGCCATTCTCGACCTTGACTGCGGGGTCGGGATGGCTGCCTGCTGCGCTCACGCTGTCCTCGCTGGCTCGGCGACGTGGCACCGTGGTGACCTTCAGGGAGCTCTGTGGCGGCGACTGCCTGCAGTAGGGCTCTGGCCTTGCTGCGGTCCGCTCTGGCTCGCCTGTGCCAGGCGGGTTCTGGGGCGCTGTCATCGGGTAGCCCTCCTGCCGCGCGCCGTGGCTGGACTGGGCGCGCGGGGGGCTGGCGCGTGTGAGGCCTGGCCCGCGGGAGAATTCGCAGATACGCTGGTACCTGCACCCGAAATTCCCTCGGGCCTGCGACGGCCCTAGGAGGAGAGGAGGCAGCAGGGAGAGATGGAGGGAGGGAGGGAGAATGAGTGTATTGAGGGAGCGTGCAATTCGTACCAGTTGCGCGAATGGATGCGGCTCGACATTGACGGGCTCGCGCGCGAGAGCATCGCTCCACGTCCGATCGGACAGGGGCAGGCATCAGAGGAACGAGTAAGCAGCTTAATAAACACAATCAGATAACTACAACACGGGAGGAGACGTAGGAGCAGGGAAACGACGAACGGGATGATGTGGATGGAGATGACGATGAAGATGCAGATGAAGATGAAGATGAACATGATGTTGATGTTGATGCTGCTGCTGCTGCTGCTGCTGCTGATGATGATGATGATGATGATGATGATGATGATGATGATGAGGAACATGATGATGACTATGACGGTGATGATGACGATGATGGCGATGATGATGATGATGATCATGATGTTGATGATGGTGGTGATGATGCTGATAGAGATGCTGCTTCCCTCATGGTGATAATATGTGTTGATGATGAATTTGTTGTTGTCGTTGTTGATGCCGATGATTAGGTTAATGATGATGCTGATGCTGATGATGATGGTGATAATGGTAATGATGCTGTGAATGATGATGCTGATGATGATGATGGTGCTGATGATGATGATGATGCTGACGATGCTGATGATGATGACGATGATGACGATGATGATGGTGATGCCGATGATGATGTTGATGAGGATGATGATAATGGTGGTGGTCGTGGTGATGATGCTATTGGTTTGAGGTTGATGCTGTTGAAGATGGTGATATGGATGCTGATTATGCTGATGATGATGGCGCTGATGATGGTGGTGGTGATAGTGACAATGATAATTATGATGCTGATACTGCTGATGATGATTATGCTGATACTCATGAATATGATGATGCTGCTGATGATGATGCGGATGATTAATCTGATGATGACGACAACGATGATACTGGTGATGAGGATGATGGTGAGGATGCTGATGCTGATACTGATGCTGATGCTGATACTGATGCTGATGCTGATGATACTGATGCTGATGATGATGATACTACTGATGATGATGGTGACGGCGATGGTGATGGTGGTGATGATGATGATTATGCTGATAGTGATGATGATGCTGATGATGCTGATGGCGTTTATGACGCGGCTGATGATGCTGTTGACTATGATGATGATGACGATGACGATGATGACGCTGCTGATTATTGTTACGATGAGGATGATGATGATGCTGATGCTGAATCTGATGACGATGATGATTATGATGATGCTGGTGAGGATGATGATGATGATGATGATGATGATGATGGCGAGGTTTTTTCCACTTTTTATTTGTATCTCTCATAGTTGTATCTATGTTATAATGATGCTGTTGTTGATGATTCTGATACTGATGCTGCTGATGATGCTGATGGTGATGCTGATGATGATGATGATGATGAGGGTGGTGATGATGATGCTGCGGATGATGAGGATGATGCTGATGATGTCGAAGAAGGAATACTAAGAGCATGGTGATGATGATGCTGCTGCTGATGATGATGATGGTGATGATGATGATGATGATGATGATGATGCTGATGATGATGATGATGATGATGATGATGATGATGATGATGATGCTGCTGCTGATGCTGATGATGATGATGATGATGCTGATGATGATGATGATGACGGTGTGGATGATGATGATGCGGAGGAGGAGGATGAGGAGGAGGAGGAGGAGGAGGAGGAGGCGGAGGAGGGGAGGAGGAGGGAAACCACGATGGGCATACGCAAGAGGAAGGAGGGACGAGGGATTACATGGGAGTCGAGGATGAGGAGGAGGAGGAGGAGGAGGAGGAGGAGGAGGAGGAGGAGGAGAGTAAGAATAATAATAATAACAAGAAGAAGAGGAATCAGAAGAATAATGAGGCGTGCGAATACGAGTAGAAGCAAACCGACGAAGGGCATGATGTCCAGGAGGACAAAGGAGTAGGAGGAGAAAGAGGAGCCATGTACAGGAGCAGAAACAGGATGTAGGACCATGGGGAGGAGGGGGGAAGAAGAGGAACATCAACAGGAACAGGGACAGGAACACGAATTTGAGCTGCAGGAGGAGCAGGCGGAGTAAGTGCGAGATGAGCAGCATGAGCAGGAAAAACAGGAGGGACGAAAGAGCAGGATGGAGGATGGCGGATGGAGGAGGGAAGTGCAGGATGGATGGTTGAGAATGGCGGATGCGTGAGTGAGGAGTGAGGAGGTAGGGGGGGAGGGAGGGAGGAGGGATGGAGGAGGAGGGAGGAGGAGCAGGAGGAGGAGGATAATGAGGAGAGGAAGAGGTTGACCACGATGCGCATGAGCAAGAGGGAGGAGGGAAGAGGGAGGACATGGGAGTTGCATGACGAGGTGGAGGAGGAAGATGAGGAGGAGGAGTGTGAGTACGAGCAGGGGCAGGACGAAGAAATACATGAGGTGGCTGAGGCCGAGGAGGATGAGGAGGAGGAGGAAAAAGAAGAAGAGGAGGAGGAGGAGGAGGAGGGGGAGGAGGAGGAGGAGGACAGTGAGGAAGCAGGAACGGGAGCAGGAACAGGAGGGAGGGCTATGAGGATGGGGGAAGAAGAGCAGGAACAACAGCAACAGGGGAAGTTGCAGGGCTTTGAGGTGCAGAAGGAGCAGGATGAGCAGGATCAGGATGATCATGATGAGCAGGAGGAGCATGAGGGACGAAAGGAGGATAGATGCTTGCGGATGGAGGAGAGAGGTGAAGGATGGGGGATTGATGATGGCGGCTGGATAAGTTAGGAGTGACGAGAGAGGGAGGGCGGGCGGGCGGGCATGATAATGATAATAACAATAATGCCATGGAAGGTAAGAAGAGAAGGAGGAGGAGGAGGGTGAGCAGGAGGAGGAGGAGGAGGAGGAGGAGGAGGAAGAGGAGGAGGAGGAGGAGGAGGAGGAGGAGGAGGAGGAGGAGGAGGAGGAGGAGAGAGAGGAGGATGAAGAGGAAGTGGAGCTGGAGTTGGAAGTGGGGAAGGATGGGTGGGGAAGAGAGCCCCTCATCTGCTTCGTCGTTCTCCTGTCCCCCCTCCCCCCACCTCCTCGAGGCCACCGCGTGCAGTGCATCGAGAGCATCGCGCTGCTCGGTGGCCAGGATGCGGGGCCCGCATCGCCACTGCTTTCGGCCTCCACGCTCCCTGCTCCCTCCCTGCCCTCCTCCAAGCCCTCTTCCTCTTCGCCCCGGCCTCGCTCCTTACTTTCCCTCCTCCTCCAGTGTCCTCCCTCCTCCGTACTCCCTCCTTCCTCCTCACTGCGACTGACTGCTCCTTTTCCTCCCCATCTTCTCCCAGTTCCCTCTTCTCTCTCTCTCTCTCCTCTTCTTCTTCTGCCTCAAGCAGTGCCTTTCCCCAGCCGGCACCGGGAATCAGTATCTGCCGCGGCTGGCCCAAGGACTGCCGCCGCGGCCGTCACGAGGCACGACGAAGGGCGGGCTGGCGTAGGGCCCGCCTCAGGCAGCGCGCGTGTCGCCTCGTTCTACGAAGATACGGTCATCTCTTCCTCCTCCTCCTCCTCCTCCTCCTCCTCCTCCTCCTCCTTCTCCTCTTCCTCCTTCACCTCCTCCTCCTCCTCCTCTTCCTCCCCCCCCTTCTCCTCCGTTTTCTGGGGAACACCTCCAGGAGGCTCGGTTCGAGGGTCTGGCCTTGAAAGTTCTAGTTGTCCCCCCAGATCTTTACCCTGGAGGCTTGCTCTCCCATCAGTCCCCGCAACGTTCGTGTGCTCCACCCTCGATGGACGGCCAGGATGCTCGGAGCAGGATCGCCTCATGTAATGTTTGTTCCTCCCTCCTCCTCCTCCTCCTCCTCCTCGTGGTCTGGGTTATACTCCTCCTAATATTCCTCCTCCTCCTCCTCCTCCTTCGCCTTCCCTTTCCCGGATGAGCATCTCCTCTTTTTCGCACCCCAGATTTGTCGGTGGGGCAGGCCGCGTGTTTCGCCTGAGAGTCCGTAGCCCTTTGGCTCAAGACATCTTCCGGGGGGGGGCCCCTCCCCCGGGGTCGGGGCTCGAGGTGGCTGGTGCGGCCTGGCGAGCGGCCGGGCCGCGCGCCGCTGCCGCTGCCTCGGTAAGGCCGCTGGCGCGGAGACCTCCGCGGCACGGCGGCGGTAGCGGCGCGCTGCTGCCGCCCGCGCCGCGGGCCCTGCTGCCGCTGGCGCCCCCAGTTCCGCGGCCGCCGCTCGCCGCCGCCGGCCGCTGCGGGCGGCCGCGGGCGCCGCCGGATGCGCGGGCGCCGCCGTGGTGGACGCCGTCGGCGCTGCCACCTCCGCGTGCGCCGTCAGCGCCGCGGGCGTCGCGGCGCAGGCCGCGGCCACGGCGGCTGCCGCTGGCCTCATGGCCGCGGTGGCCGCCCTCTCCCGCGCGGCGGCCAGCGCCGGCGCCGCGGCGACGGCGCCAGGCGGCCCGCCGTGCCTGGCTGGCCCTGCTTGGGGCGACAGGCGCACCTGCTCTCCGTTGCACGCGTGTGAGGCGGAGCTGGGCGTTCAGGACCGGTCCGCTGGTACCGCTGCTGGGGCGGGTGACTCAGGCTGGAAGGTGCTGGCGTCTAGCGAGGCCGCAGAGAGGCAGAAGGACTGGCCTCGGGAGATCGTCGACGTTCGCCTTTCCACGATGGCCGAGGGCGAGGACGTCGTCAAGGAGGTCGCAGGCGAGGGCATCCAGGAGGGTATCGACGAGGTGGGTGAGATGCAAGATGACATGGAGGAACTGGTGGAGGAGGCCTTCGACGGCAGGATCACGGAGGTGGAGGTAGCGGTCGAGGAGATGACGGACGAGGAGGTGGGGGCTGCGCCTGGAGAGCCCTCGTTGCCACGGCTGGACTCTCGGGGATTCGGAGAGCTCTCCTCGGGGGACGGAGGAAGGTCTGATCCTGGCACGCTGTGCGTCTTGGAGATCCCTAGTCGCCACGACTGGATCCCCGACGCCACAGAAGGGGGGTCGATCTCGCGACCGTTGCTCGTCCTGGAGAGCCCTCGTCGCCGCGGTTGGAAAGCGGAACCCAGCAGCACAACCGCGAGCAGCGTGACGAATTCCAGCCGCAGCATCGTGAGCAGCACGGTGGGCCCCAGCAGCTCAGTTGTGTCGCCCCACCTGGCTCGCCAAGAAGCACGTCGGCTCCACCCAGAGCTGACGCGGGCGCGGGTCCCATATCCAGGCCCCAGTCCAGTCCCCCGTCCGAGCCCAGGGACCATCCAGGGATGAGCACACCGAGCCCCCCAATAACCCCACCCCTTTCGCGCGAGCCCCAGCCCGCCCTCCCTGCGCCGCCGCGTTCCTCGCCCCGGGGTCGCTGCTGGTTGCAGGGAAATCGCGGCAGTATTTGCATAGTTACCTGCTGCGGTTAGTGGCGCGCCCCAGCGATGCGTGAAGGCGGGGGGAAGGGGGTGGGGAGTGCAGTGAGTGCCATCCTGAAGATGGATTGGTTTGGGGTGCGACGGCCATCCAGGACGAAGGAGCGCGCCGTGGACCCAGACCTGACCCGGACCCTGCTACCCACGGCGGCGAGCTCAGACAGAGCGCAGGAATTACCTCTGGGCGGCAAGAGGGAAGCGACAGGGCCTTCAACGCGACGGCTCCACCCTGAGCTGACGCGGGCCCTTCTGACTTCAGAACGTGTCTCTGCCGCGGAGCAGCCCCTGCGGACTGAGGGTGCCCAATCTTGCGCTGGGGCCACCGATCGGACCGCGCCGCTGTGTCCCCAGCCCGCCCTCCCTGCGCCGCCGCGTTCCCCGCCTTGCGGGGGGATCGCGGCGTCGTTTTGCAGTTTCCTGCGACGGTTAGTGGCGCGCCTCATCTTTAGGGTGGGGAGAGCAGCGGGTGCCATCTTGCACCGCTGTGCGCGTGTTCCCGCCATCCTTCCACCGCTGTGCGCCCTGGAGAGCCCTCGTCGCCGCGGCCGGCTCTCCGACGCTTCGGGGGGGGTCGATCCGGCGACCGCCGCTCGTCCTGGAGAGCCCTCGTGGCCGCGGCCGGATAGCGGAGTCCAGCGGCGCGACCGTGCGCGGCGCAGCGAGCTCCAGCCGCGGCATCGCGAGCAGCGCGGCGCCCCCCGGCAGCTCATTCGTGTCGTCGCACTTGTGTCTCAAGGGATTGCTGCGAGTAGTGACGTCCCCAGTGGGTCCACTGCCGGCCCCCTTGGAATCGAAGGTCAGGCCCCGGCGGGGCCCCGCCGCCCCTGCTCGGGGGAGGGGGCCGCGATCGAACCTGGTGCCGGTGCTCGTCCTGGGGAGCCCTCGTCGCCACGGCTGGACCTTCGGGGGGTCGGGGGATTCCATGGGGGCAGAGGCGTCCCCGACGCGTCAGACTGGGGGTCGATCTCGCGACCGCTGCTTGTCCTGGAGAGCCCTCGTCGCCGCGGCTGGAAGGCGGAGACCGGTAACCTGGCGTGGGCGAACTTTCGCGTGGCGCCGTCGATCTACCCAGGGACCCCGGGGCAATTTTCCTCAGCCGCTTGGGTGCTGGGCCCCAGGGGGGCCTCCTGACGCGCGGCCATGACGGGCGCGAAACCTAGCGAGGCAGCGCACCTGGACTAGGGCATCCCACGCGCGCGGGAGGCCCCCCGCCAGACACCGGGGGCAGTGAGGGGATCAGGACTCTGCGCCCCCATCCCGCCCTCCCCGCGCCACCGCAGTGTTGGCCCCGGGTTCGCCGCTGGGCCCAGGGAGATCGCGGCGTCATTTCGCAGTAGTGGCGCGCCTCAGCGATGCGTGGCGGGTGGTAGAAAGTGGGGGGTGCAGCGCGTGCCTTCCTGAAGACGATGTGCGACGGCCGACCTGGGCGAATGGGCGGGCCTTGGGCCCAGACCTGGCCCTGCCATCCGCGGTGGCGAGCCCGGGCAGAGCGCGGGAACTATCTGCGGGCTGCAAGCGCGCATGCCACGGTTAGTGGCGACCCAGGAGATAGCAGTTTCTTGCCGGTTAGTGGCGCGCCACACGTGTGCGAGACCAGGGGTGGATGGGGCGGGGGGGGGGGGCGGCGAGTGCCACCCCGAGGCTGGACTGGGCGGGGCCGCGACGGCCGGGCCAGGCGAAGGAGTGGGCCTCGGACCCATTCGGACCCCGACCTGACGCCGCTGGGGGGGCGGGTGGACCCAGCGGCGCCTCGCCTGGCCCGGCTTGCCCAGAAGTGGACCTAGCGGGGGGTTTCCATGGGTCGCGGCGCCCCTTTGGGTTCTGTGCAAGCTATGTGGTTCCGCCAGCGCGCGAGGCGCCCGCGGGGTGGGTTCTGGCTTCTGGGTGCAGGTGCGGGGCGCGGGCGGCCAGGTCCAGGCAATGCCCCCGCGTGCGGCTGCCTGCCCAGAGGCTCCCCTGCCCCGATGGACCGCGCGGCCGCGGCTGCCCGGCGAGTCCCGGGCTGCAGTTGCGCCCCGTAGCCGGGGGGCCCGCAGGTCGGCGCGGCGCCGCCGCCCGGGGGGGAGGTGGCCAGAGAGGCGGACGGAGCCGCGCTCCGTCGCCTGGGCAGCCAAGGCCCGTGCGCCCCCATCTGCCCGCCCTCCCCCGATGGCGGTTGGGGCGGACCGCGCCCGCCGAGGGGCGGCGGCGGCGCCCTGGAAGGAGACGGCCTCGTGGCGGCCCTGAAGACCTCTCGTCGCCACAGCTGGGCGGCGAGGCCCGGGCGCGGGGCCGCGAGCGGCAGGAACGAGGTCGGCGGCGCCGTCGGGGGCTGGGCGACGGACTCCTGCCGCGCGACCGCGAGCAGCAAGACGCGCTCCAGCAGCAGCGGCGCGAACAGCGCGACGAACCTCGGCAGCTCGACCTTGCGCGACGCGCCGGGCTCCGGCAGCGCGGCATTGGGCAGTCAGAAGAACGCCGGCACTGCAACCCCGAGCGGCTGGGCGGGCTCTGCTAGGCAGATCAAGCTGGGGGCGGCGACGCCGGCGCCAAAGCGCATGGGCCCAGCGCCCGATCCGACGCCGCCGCCGGGCCCCGCGCCCCCCCCGGCTCCTCTCCCGACGGCGCCCCGCCCCTCGCGACGACGTCTCTCGTGGCTCCCTCCCCGATGCCCCCCCAGCCCGCCGTCCCCTCCGGCGCCCCTGCCCGCTCCCTGCCCGCCAGTCGGGGCGGCGCGTGGCGTCCGTCCTGGCCCGTCACTCGGTGGCCTAAGCTGGCGACTGGGTCGTCGCCGACGAGCGTCAGTGCGCGTGCCCACCGCCTGCCCCTGAGGCTCTTCGCTCCTCCCCAGTGACGACGGCCGCTGGCGGCTCTGGCACCGGGGGCTGCTCCGGCGCCGGCCCGCGAGGGTGAGCGGCTGCCTGCGCGGCGCGAGCTCCTGCTACTCGTCGAGTGCTTGGGCCGCGTTGCCAGACGCTCGCGTCCCGTGGGGCTCGTCTGCCTCGGACTACAGGAGACAGGGCAAGGGGCGGGCGCGTCCTGAGTATGCCCCAACACACGTCTTGCTCGACTTCCTCGGCTCGGAAGTGGCCCTGGTGCCCCAGGTCATGAGGGTGCAACGGATCGGTGGTGAACCTGGGGCGGCTTGGCACATGTTTTGCGATCTGCGTGGCGGTGGCGCCCGCGACCCCAGCTGGCGCGACGTGCCCCAAGACCGGCCATGCGCTGTTCACCCCGACAGCGCGTGACCTTCGCGGCCGCAGCAAGGGCCACCCGCCTGGCAGCTGCAGCGCTGAGCGCTCGCGCTGGGCCGCCTGGCGCCGACGCCTCGCCTGCTGTGGCCTCCCCGCAGGCGGGGCGCTCCTCCTCCCTGTCCCCTTCCCCCCCTTTTCCCCTGTGCCTTATTCTGCCCTCCTTCCGCGCGCCGCCATGGCGCTCGCGCTGCTGCCGCAGCTGGCAGCCCCCCCCTGTGCGGCGATGCTCCCGAGCCTGGTCCTGTCGCCCGCGCCGGCCTCATGGGCCCAGCATTTTGTTGGTGGCGGTCTGAAGCCTAGACTGCTCGTGAAATTGCTACGCCCTGTCGGAATGCCACCCACCTGGGCGGCCACGCGGCGCTTTCCTTGACGTGCAAGTTCTTAGTCCTGCTTCGCCGACGGCGTCAGTGCATTTTGTCTTCACGTACTGAGCCCCGCCATCGCCCGTGGCTGCCGCGGCGCCGCGGCCCGGCTGCTGCCGTGGTTCCCGTTGACGGGGCCGGCCGCGCCAGCGCGCTCAGGACGGACGTTTTCTGCCTTCAGTGGCCCCGCCTCTTTCCCCTTCCGCGGCCGCCCTGTCCGTCTTCTCACTTCTCCTGCGCGCTGGTCAATTCGCTTATCGGTGCCCCTGTTTAGCTTTATCGTCGGTGCAGCCATTCTGTTTTGCCGCCGACGAAACAAGTTTCGCCTGAGACTTCCTGACCATTCATGGTCCTGAAGATTGAACGTTGCAGCAGTTTCAAGGGTGATTGGTTCTTGTCAACATGTGGATCTCGCTCTAGCGCCGCAGGCATTCGTTACAAAATCTGTTCCAGTTACAAGATCGGAGGGTTGTTCTTGTCATAGTGTGGTTCAGGCTTCAACGCCGTGCGCATTCGTGTCATCGTTACAACAGTTTGAAGGGTGCAGGGTGTGTGGTTTCCAAATTGTGGCTCCCGCTTTTTGCGCCGCGCGCAGTCGTTGTAAACAACTTGCAGCATTTGCAATGATGGAGGGCGGTTGTGTTTTAGCATGTGTCTCTCGCCTCGGCGCCGCGTGCCTTCGTGTTGAATTATGGCAGCATATACCTGGATTTGCAGGGTTGTAGTCCCCGGAGTGGTGTCCTATCGCGATTTAGGAATGCCACGTCGCAGCAGTCACGTTGATCTGCGTTGTTGAAGCGTCTTGGACACAGTTCCTCCTCCAGTGGAGCGTGTTTTGACCAACGTTTCGAGGTGGATTCGGCCGTGACGTCGAGAAGGAGGCCCCAGGAAACCCTTACGACGTCCCCAAACTTTTTGCGCTCGAGCCTCGAACCTTCTCTTCGCGCTTTCTTGGCAGGACGATTTCTTCGGGGAGAATGACCACATGGCGCACCACTACCACACCAACGTGTACTGGAGGGACTTGACCGAGCTGCAGGAGCGTTCCAGCTGATGCCGGCTAGGGCCTTGTGGCGGAGGGGGGATGAGCCTTTTCCGTCATCCGTTCTCGTCATGTCATCTTCGTTTATTCTCCCATCGTCCTCCTCCTCTTCCTCCTCCTCCTCCTCCTCATCCTAGTCCTCCTCCTCCTACTCCTTTTCCTCCTTCAACCTGCTCCCCTCTGTTGCCCTTATTTCCCTCTTCCTCCTCCCTCCTTCTTCTCCTCCTCCTCTTGCAAGATATTCTTCCTCCTCCTCTTCGTCCTCCTCTTTCTGCCTTCTTCCTGCAGAACCCTCCTCGTCCTCCCCCTCGTCGTCGTCGACGACGTCGCCGTCGTCGCCATCGTTTTCTTTTCCTTTTTTTGTTCTTCCTCCTTCTCTGCCTCTTGCTTAAATCTGTTCCTCCTCTTCCTTTTTATTCTCCGATGTCTTCCTCCGCGTCCTCTTTTTTTCCTTCTCCTTCACCCTTGCAGGTGCTCAGGCCAGAGGGGTCCCATGCACCTCACTGGGGCAGAAAACGATCGTACTCATAATTTATCGGCTGTCGTGTCAACTGGTGGACAGCCCCAGGAGTGGGTGAGGATTGGAAAACAGCAAACCGTTCTTGTGCTTCTCCCCCTCCGTCCTCGTCTTCTCCTCCTCCTCCTCCTCCTCCTCCTCCTCCTCCTCCGCCTCCGCGTTCGTCATTTCCTCCTCCTCCTCCTCCTCCTCCTCTAACATCTTGCTCGTCGTCGCCAACCTCCTTCTCCTTCGCCTGTTTCATCCTCCTCCTGTTCTCTTCCTCCGCCTCTTCCTCCTATTTTCCTCATCCTCCTCTTTCACATAGGCATTTTGGCTCAAGCCACCTGAACCCGAGCGTTTTGCTCGTGCCGACTCTCGTGCTCGTTCGGGGCGCTTGAGGCACACAGAGCAGAGCCGTACAGAAAGGGCCAGGCGCCTGCGCCAACGTCCGCCGCCCCAGGATGGCGTGCGTCGCCCTCGCTGGGACCGCGACCATTACCTGTTCATCTCGGGGGTCGGCAGGGCGATGGCCCTTGGGATCAACCCTCGCTGCATGAAGGACTATGAGGAGTGCGTTCCTGTCGATCCCGAGGGGCGCGCTGCTGTCGGTCTTCCGTCGGCGTCGAGCTCGGCTTCCCTGACGTCCAAGAGGCTCCGCCGAGATCTCTCCGCGTGCGGGCGTCCCTCGCGTGGCGGGCCCAGCCGAAGTTCCGCCCGAGGGGCGGTCGCGCGGCTGACGGCGTCGGCCCGGCAGCTGGGAGGCGCGGCGCCCCATCGGCCTCCTGGGGGCGCCGCCTCAACAGAAGAGGGCGCCGACGAAGAAGTCGGGCAAAGGAGGGTCCGCGCCCGGTGGCAGTGGCGCTGGCGGTCAGGGCGGCGCTGGCACGACGACTGGGGGAAGTGCCCCCCCCGCCTCTGCCAGGGCCGCCGCCGCAGAAGAAGGCGCCGCCGTCGCAAGAGAAGGAGGAAGGGGCCGCGCCCAGTGGCAGTGCCACTGGTGGCTGGTGGACGAAAGAAGACTGGCCCATAGCCCCGACGCCCCCGAAGGGGCCGCCGCTTCCGCGGTCTCAGCAGTCGTCGCCTCCTGTGACCCCGCTTCCGCCGACGGATGCGCCTCCGAGGCAGGCGCCGATGAACGCGCCCGCAGCGTCTCCCGCGCCTTCGCCGCTGGTTCCGACGCCGCCGCGTGTTCCGCCGCCGCTGCCGGGCGCGCCCTCGCAGCGGGCAGAGCGGCAGCCGCGCGCGGCGGCGCCTCCGCCGCCCGAGGGGCGGCCATCGCAGACGCCTGCTGCGCGGGACAAGCCGGAGCGGCGTGCGCAGTGGCCTGTGCCGCCAGCGTCCATTTTCGCCGAGGCCGGGCGCGAGGCGACAAGGCGGCCCGCACCCTGGCCAGCGCCGGGCTCGATGCCAGCGGGCGCTGCGCTTTTCATTCGGGAACGGATGGTCAAGGCGCAATGTGCCGCCCCAGAAACCCGTGCCGAATGTGGCCTCTTCGAGAGGCACGGATGACGGAGACGTTGAGATGCAAGATCAGGGCGATGAACAACAACATGCCTCCACAGGACCTGCGCCTGGGCCCGCTGGCAGTGCGATCGGTCCTGGCGAAGACGCCCCAGTTCCGAACTTCGTTGGCAGAAGAACCCGCTATCGCTACAGGAGCGAAGTCAAAGGGGCCCGGGAGGGTGCGGAGCTTCCATCGGCGACATTTGCAGCGCAGGTTCGGCCGCAGTTTCTGGTGGTCGGCGACTTCCAACCCAGGCGCGAGTATGTGGACCTGGCCAAGGCGCTTGCTATTCGGCTCGCCCAAGTCACCAACTCCCACATGGTGGAACTCATCAGCCACATGGGTTTCGTGCAGTGCTGTGCTGTCCTCTCCGCGATGATTGAGGCTTCGGGTATCCATTCCAGGCGTCCAGGCCCGAACATTCTCGCTGATGCGCGGCGAGGGCGAAGCGTGATGGAACGGCGCAAGGAGCCGTTGATCGGGACCTGGTCGGGGAAGGCGAACAAGGGCATGCAATGCCTTGGCGTCAACGTCAGGGCCCTCTCCGCCGCAACCTCGCATTTCGACAGGGAGGACATGCCTGGGCGCTCACTCAGCCTTCTGAAGAACGACGTCGCCGAGATGTCGGGTGGACGCGTCGCTTGCATCCGTGGCGGCTCGACTCTGGGCGCGAGTTGTGCTCTCGACAGAGGTGCCGACGCCATCGCCTTCAACGGCGCTGGCCTGTCTGTTCTACCGCAGGGCGTCAAGTTCGCGTCGTCCCATGGGGCGGGAACAGGCTAGACGCAGATGCATGCGAACTGCTTTGGATTCGGGGAACCGAGCTGTTTCGGCGTGGTGAACGCACTTCCGGCTTCCGGCGACAGTTGGCATGTCTTGGCGACGTTGACAGGGCGCCTTGGGGGCGCGTTCGTGGCGGACGTGGCGAGGCGCATCCTGAGGGCAATCCGTATATGCATCGAGCTCAGCCAGGGCCCCCGCGACCGGCGGCGTTGAGGCAGCGCCTCCAACCGTGGCCGCCCACGCGCGGGATGCTCGGTCGACGGGGCAACGCTATCAGAACACCTGTGAAGTGTGGCGCATGTGTGCTCTTGCCATGTAGCCCTGCTGATGTTCCAGTTGTTATTGATTTGCACTATGTGGGCGTCGACCCCCCGGAGTTTGCTGAGTGGGTGGGGCGCGAGAATCTCCCGCAACGGCCCCCCTGGGCCGATGCCCCCATCTTCGCGCTCCCGTTCGAGCGCATTGCGTTGCGAGGAATGCTTCCTTCGCCCGCCCGCGTGCAAAACAAGCTGGCCCCTGATAAACGCATGGCCAGGTGCGTTGCGCTTGCGGGGTCGACGGGGGCATTGATGCCAGCTGCGGTTCCGATGCGGCTGACCAGAGAAGCGGCGGGGCCCGCGGGCTCCGCTGACGGTGTCAGCGGGCCTACGGAACCCAGCATAGACGTCTCTCTCAGTGGACAAACGTCCAGAACAACATCCTGGAGCACTCCACCATGTACCAGGGGGGGCCGCTGCTCTGGTGCAGCACGGGCAACAGCATCATGCTCTGCGGAGAGGCATTCAAGGCGTCCGAGGAACACCAGGCCGCGATAATCGTCGGTCAGGGAAGACATCGGACGCCGATGACAGATGCGCTGAAAGACAGGGTTGCCCCGTGAGACAGCGAGGCTGATTGCGACAATATACGCCCTGGAAGAGATCGCCCCCAAGAGGCGCGCGAAATTCCCGGCGCCAGATACGGAAGGCCGCATGTGGAAGGCAGGCGTGACGCACGCGGCCTCCCAGGCCTGGCTAGCTGGGCGTGTCCGCGTGGCTCGCCCGCCGATGCCGACGGCCGTCAACCTCGGTGACTGAATCATCGAATAGTCGGCCTCCCGACGCTTGCATCCGCCAGAATCCCGGAAAATCCGCTCCTGTTATCCACGCCGAGTACTCTTGCGCATGTGAGATGTTTTGAGGTTGCCTGGGCGTCGCCTGCGACTCCCAACTGATCGCCCCCAGCGCGCAGACGAAAGGGCGCGACGGCTTCTTCGCCGTCGACTCGAACGCGGGTGGGCGCAGGCAGTGGTGTTGTTCGCATCCTTCGAAGATTGTTTGCGCGGCGCTGCGCCTCTATGTCCCCGCCGCGCCCCAGACGCATGCCGCGCCATGTCGAGCTGGACTGCGTGGCGCTGGTAGATCTTAATCCGCCTCCGCCCGCCGCGGAGAGCGAGCGAGAGACGGGGCCCGTGCCGCCGTGACGCATATATATATATATATATATATATATATATATATATATATATATCTGTATATGAGAGGAAGCCGCTGGTCGCGATGTCGGCCGCGTCGCGCCAGTGACAAGGGGCGGGGCCTTCTGGGGGCGCGGCGGGGTAAGTGCAGCGAGCGCCAGGGGGCCCAAATATAGCAGGCGGCTTCCCATCGACAGAAGCTCGTGCCCATGTTCGTTGACCTCGCCTTCGTTCAGAAGCGCCGGGGGTGGGTGGCCCCCCCCCCCTCTGGCCAGAGGAACTCGAGGCGGCGGCTTTCTACGGACCTTGCGGCGCAGACCCCTCGCCAGACGAGCTCGAGAAGTACCGTGATCCGTGACTGCATGGGCCTTGGCCGCGACGTTCTGAGCCCGACGATCGTCGAACCCGACGTGAGGTGGATGCGTCGCTCGCAAGAAGACCTCGCTGCATACCGACGCGCCGGCGTGGCAATGGGGGGGCCAGCAGCCAGTGGTGACCGTGTCGTCAGCCTCGCAGGATGGAGATGAGGAGGAAAGAGCGCTTGGTGGCTGCGTCGCCAGCGCCCCTCCTGGAATGCGGCAGCAGCAACGGGGGCGACGCGCGAGAAGTCGCAGCGTGCTGCGTCGCTTTCCCAGAGATGAGCAGCTCCATGCGTTGGCCATGCAACTCCGTCGCCGAATTTTGCGCAGTGAGCGGAATTCGCGGGGCTGGCTTGGTCAGACTGGGTTTCAGCCAAGATCCGCGATAATTGAGGCCTT